GGCCACATAGATAATTATAAATTTTAAATAGTATTATCACTAGCTTATTACCCGGCCCGTTGGCCGGATTACGGTATGTTACCCACTTGTGGAATGGGAGAGAAAGCAAGTGAGAGTGAAGGGATTGGGATTCCACTTGATTAGGACCGACCCACTAATCCGATTCTTCCAGACCCGCCCCAACCTAAAGGATCAGAAAGAGTCAATAAGAAAATACGAACGGAGAGGATTAGTCATATATCTTGACTCTTCAGAAGTGGGTCAAACAGGATCAAGGTTGGGTGAGGGCAATTTTTAGCGCTAAGCAGAGTTCTGGGTTGAATAACTTTACTTAGGCCTAGAAATTGGTGCTGATGTAGACTGCAGTTTTTATTATACCATCATCAATCATCATTGAATTAGTCCTGGGCATCCCTCCCCGTTGTCGGTCTGAATTCTAATGATGGCTTCATTCCTTGCACCAGCCATATCAGCGAGTTGTCATCTCGAGCATGATTTGCCTATGTACAAATGATACAATTAGAGTATGAAACTGAATTCAAAGAAAATGAAAAGAGAATTCTATCACATGCCAATAAATACACACATAATAGTTGAAGCTAAGTGAAAGTCATTACTCGCACATCAATTCTCAAAAATTACAGACTAAACAATGGCTAGAATGGCACTGAAACTACCAAGAATCATGGACGAAACAACTTGTCAAATTAAATAATCCTTATACTGAAACTACCTTCTAACTTGAAATAAGACATGATCACAGTTCATAGCACTCGTATAACTATGAATTGGTTGCAGCTCGTATAACTAAATTTTTTGAAGGAGACTCAACCACGAAAAAAGAGTAAAGCAACAATGCTAATAGTTCAGATGGTTGGCTTTGATGTTATACGTTGCTTTTGTTATGGTCTCCAGTATATCAACTGCAATAGAGATGTTTCCTCCAATCATCTTTAGTGCACGATTTAGAAGTAAGTCCTCTTGTTTGTGTCAAACGGAAACATTCATGGGTTCTTAACTCCCTTGCTAGTGTAAATGCAACAGCAACAACAAAGAAGTTTGACAACACAGCAAGCACCCAGGCAAAATGATACAATGCAGTAGATAATATGTGTCTCAAAGATTTTGAGTTATTAAAGTTCATGTTAAAAATAAACATGAATTAAAATGGATTATTCTATTAAGCAAACATCCCCTCTAATCATACAAAGATCAGATATCCAATTCACAAACAATTAAGCCATAAAAAATCATCACACATCCACCACCTTTGATTGCCTAAATTTGGTTTTTCGCAAAGTTATGGACTCTTAAGGGTAACGTTCATGGGTAGTCTGTTTCATAACTCTAGAGAGCACAGTAAGCAGCCACCAGCCAGACACAGTGCGGTAGCCGAATATGATTCTCAATTCACAATTTCTAACCACCGGAAGTAAGAACATACCAAAATAAACGTAGCGTTCATGGGTGGTCTGTTTCATAGCACTACTACACAATTTGTTAAAAAAGGAAGAAAGGTATTTAGCATCACGGCGGAACAACTTTTACAGGCCAACAACGACAACATGCTGCAACCACCAGAACTGGTATCACAACTCATAGGGAAAATCAAAAGATTTACTCTCAAATTAAGTAGTTACAACATCGAGCAATCGTCAAGCACATACACCATCACAAAAGTCACGGAACCTGATTCACAAAGCATTCAAACATTTGAGGACATTTCTGCAAAGGTACAACTTATATGTCTTTTTTCCAAGCCATTTTCATCAATATGCTAATAAATTTGCAATGCATAAAACAAACGGGCCAAAACTTGAAATTCAGCCTGTTTGACCGACCCATGTCAAATTCTAATTATTCTTTACTTTTAAACTTTCTATTTGAAAATAAAAAATAGTGAAAGAAAAGAGACGACTACAATTCGCCATTTGCACATAACTTATTCGGGAATAAAACCATAGAAATTCAAAAGAAACTGAAAATATTTAGGATCGTTTTAATGTTTAAAATAACCAAATAGATCTTTATGTTTAGTTTTTTACTAACAAATACCAAACGATTCCCTATAAAATACACTATAATTTGATCATTATGATGTCAAATAATTATAAAATATATATTTAAAATGATAAAAATTGGACTAATTGGGTTGGTCGAGGTTAAACCATTGAATAAATTTAAAATACATTATATTTTAGCCACTAAGATATAAAATAATAGCATAATATATATTATGCCAGAGAAAATAGTTTGTTTTAGAATGTCAAACCAATGATGTTCATTTGTTTTACTTGATGGCCAAATCCCATGTAGGTCAGGCCCATTCAACTCTTTTATTTTATGGTTAGCGGTTAGCCCATTAGATACCATGCATTAGTTTATTGTTAACTTTTTATTTTTAACAATAAAAAGGAGTATTATTTTTGTCTTTTCATATTTATTTTATCACCACGGAGAAATAAAAGGGTATAAAGAAAAAAATACTCCTAGACCCGTTTAAATCCGCATGTGTACGGTAAGTTGGCCCGTTCCACAGAGGAAAGAGAAAAAAATTGACACTCTCTATTCTACCCTTCCTACAAACGATCATGGAGCAGGGAATTTGAGATGGGGGAAGAGTTTTTTCCACATTGCTATTATATGTTTTTAATTTAAAAGAATACAACAAATGTACTTAGTGTGATTGGTTATGATTCTTGTCTTTCTTTAAAATGATCATGGTTCGAATCCCAATATGTATCTTTTTAATGAATAAAAAAAAGTAATTGTGAAGACCAAAATGTCCTTCCTACTTTCACTCTCGTTGCAGGAAATTTGAAATGGGGCTCCTGTTTTCCCCTTCGGTGTATTATAGTATGTGTAGATTTTATCTCCTTCCTCCTCTGCATCGCCTTCTTCGTCTTCTTCTTTGAACCCAGGAAACAAAAACCAACCACATGGAAACCAGATTGTCTCCACTGATGCTAATCTTCTGGCCACCATCTCTTTCCTATTGCAGAGATGAACCCACCAAATTGTATCCACCAATTTCAATTAATTTCTTTTCTGTTTCTCATTCAATTGAGAATCCCAATCCTAGAACCCTACAAACCTTACAAATCCAAATCGGGTTGAAACTTCCCATTTGGGGGAGAAACTTCCCATCGTCTCGCCGCTCAAAGTCATTATGGGTGGATGTGTTTGTGGTTGAGAGAGTTGGGTTTGTCTAGGTTTCTCCGTTACTCGTTCCTTCAAGTTGGTGCGATTCGTCGGCAGACTCCAACTCTCTCTTTTACCCCCGGCGGCTCGATTTGACGCAGATGATAACGGGATGGTGGGATGCACGACCATCTTCTTCCTCACGGCGACGGCGGGATGACGCTCTCCGCCTCTAGTCCTCCAAGGCGCTCCAATTTTGAGGCATTCAGATGCGAGATGGTACTGGATCTAATGGATCCGGCAACACCTAGATTTGGCCAGTGATTTTGTGTAGAAGTAGAATCGGAAAAACCGACCCACCTTAAAAGAACCCATCAACGCCTCAATCTGGTCTTGAAACGCAGAAGAACCAATTGTCAGAGGTCGTTGGAGACTACCGTCAGCGGACACTGCGAGAAAACCCTCGCCGCCGTCAATCCTCTCAAGTCGAAGCGGGAGACTTCGTCATCCGGATTTCGATTTCAGAGGAGGGAGGAGAAGTAGAAGAAGTAAAATATCAGGATGAAAGAAAAATAGATCTGGAGCTCGCCGCCAGGAACTTGAACTGCTCTGGCAAGTCGGAAGAAGTCGGCGGCGGCGGGGTTATCTTTCCCTGCGGCGGAGGAGTTTATCGAGCGAGAGAGATAGGGGAAGAAAAGTACAAAATAATTTTTGTTTCCATAAGAATTATTTAAATTTTATAATTATCTGCGTGGCACAGTTAAATATTTGATTTTTTGCCACGTCATTAAATTCATTCCATATCAGCAAAGTGTTTGCCACGTCAGAGTCAACTAACAGTTGACCGGACGGAAAGTTAACGGTTTGGTTATTATTTTGTTTTTGAAAAGGTTTGGTTATTATTTTGTTTAAAATGAAAGGTTGGGCTATTAAATTGTATTTACCCTAATTTATTTGTGCAATGGTATTGTTTTGATTTCACAGTTGTAGTGGTATTGGTTGTTTTGGTATTTGTTTGACTTTTATAATGATATAGATTCTTTATATTGGTAGTTTTCGTGTAATGGTATAGATTTATCTCTGCAATGGTATTGATGTTTTTCAAATTGGTAGTGGTTGTCTAATGGATTGGTATTAATTTTCTGTTTTTTCTTTTGCAGAAAGATTGAGAAAAATATGGAATGGAGATCTGACTGGAGATTACGGAAGTGAGAGAAAGAGAGATAATTGTAATTAATAGATTTTTGTAACTATCTAAAATGTAATTTATTAAAAAAATTAATTAATATAATTTATTTTTTCATACCCAATTTAGCCTTTAGTAATCACCATAACAGCTCCCTTTTTATTGTAGTGTGATGTTTCGGCTAACCATTACCATGCAGCTAAAAATATAATTATCATTCCTAAACAAGGAAGGCTAATTCATGTAAACTAGGGCATATATTTAATTCGGGTAATTTATTAGGGAAATTGTAGTATTAGAAATTGTAATTGTAATAACATATAAAATGAAAACGGCAGACCATATAATGATGGCAATAATACGGGGCGGGGTGAATACATACCAATTGCGGGCGGGTCAGGTTGGGTAATACCTGTGTTACACGAAAAGATGGATCGACTCATCCACACATATTATTTTGAATAAAAAAATATTGATATTTAGCTTTTTTTATATTATAAGTGTGGTATAGATTTATTTTTTTAGTTTTTAGGTATTTTGAATTTAAACCTGTGACCTCCAAGTTAAGGACTTAAGGCTAGTGGTATTACCACTAACTAAACCCTTAACAAATGAATGAGAAATATTTAGAAAGATGAGTCCAAAATTTTCATTGAAATGAAAATATGATTTAGAAATGTCGATAGAAAAGAGATACATGCTCGTACCTAGACGTAAGGTTATTAGCACGGGACTTTGTAGTCCCAATGCAAAGGACAGAACAAAGACTTCCCAAGGATTTTATTTGACTTGACCTTGAATCTGTCTTTACAGTAAATACCACAGCAATCAGGTGTAATATTGAAATCCATTTCAACATTCTCGATTTTTCGAATGCCTTCATTTTACAATTCCAATAAATAACTGCATTCAGAGACAAATTCTTTCCACCAAGACAACCCCACAAGAATTGCCTATCGCAGAAGCCTGAAGAAAATTGTCTTCCCAGGTTTGTTCTATGTACAACATTTTGTCTGCTGAGAAAAAATACAAGGAGAAGCCAGACCCATTGAAATAGCTAGCTGCAGACATTAAAACCACAGCAGTTTCTTTCTTCTCGTTGAATCTCGTTGCAGCAAACACCACCTGCTAAAACTTGGGAATGTCAGTTTAACTGAAGCTGGATTTTCTTTTTAAATTGATGAAAAGGGTTCTATTGAACAAATACCTGAGACTAGCTGCTTGAGCTACCCATATCGAAGTCCATGGTGTAGTCGTACTCTATGGTTGGTATAACAGAGGCCATGAATTTTAAGAAAAGGAAAAGATACCTGCAGAAAACAGATATGCGTCTCAGTTAGACACATATATAAGTAAAGTTCTGAGAATAGTTGAAGACAATATGAGCGAAGGCACTGTAAAGTGAAGTTCTGAGAATAGTTGAATACACTAATTCATTGTCGTAAGTCACAGATCGTCCATCAGATTTTTCTATGTCAGTAACAAGGAAGGCTAAAACTCACTTGTCAACTTCTGGTTCAACACCTCGAGACATTAGAACATCAATAATTTTCTTCATCACAGCCCCATGTTTGCATGGATGAACTGATGCATGCTTCCCAGGCAAATGAGGATGGTCTTCGATAGTAACTGTCTTACGTGCATGATCCTGACTAACATCTTCAAGCACTAATTCGGGTTGTAAAAGCATCCTGGACTGCAAGTTCACAATGTTACAGTCAACAGTGGACCCAAAGAGCATTTGGAATGCAGACCAAATTTGAACCAAATAACAGTAAGCTAGATCAACATTTCACTTTTACGGTCATTAACTCACTCTAATGGGTTAAATATGCAGTGATTATAGAGTGAAAAGTCAGAGACCGGTTTAGTTTAAGAAGTTACAGTTTCTTAGGATACACAGAACAAACCTCATCGTATCCAGTAAGCCACACTCGAGGGGTCTGATAGTATTTGTCATAGCTGGAAATACATAACCAAAGAATAGTTATAACAATGGTCAACAAAAAAAATTGAACTTTCTATCTCAGCATACTTACGTGATGCTGACATCATATGTTCGAGTCCGCAAAATGTTATCGTCATCAGGTTCATTTGCCACAAGATAAGTAGTTTGAAGCGTTGCCTGAAACAATTTAGATATATCACATGTTCGTTTCCTTCTAGCAAGATCCCTACTTGCAGAATCGGTAAAAGAACTTACAGGATCTGCTTCAATGAGATTGTCAGGGTCATCATAGTCAGCCATGTCAGGGATATCATCTTCTTCTGGATCCCCAAAGTATGATGGAATTGGTTGGATAGGACCCTTTCTGCTGATTTCAAGGGCCTCCATAGAAGGCACATTGTCCTCTTCACCAGCTTTCGTCTCTAGAAACCAGAATGAAGAAGCATGAAAGTCAGATAATGAACCCCTTATTCCAACGGCAACTTAGTTATCGAGTTCAAAATTTCACCTTTCGGTGTTCCATGAGTGGCAACCCAGGCGTCGTTCTCATCGTCATCATTATCGAGTAAAACCTCACCCCCACTAGCTATGTAATCTTCCTCAATAGAGGCAGCTCTACGTAGACAAGGAACTGAAAAAGCAGGTTCAAAACTTGTCACGAAACTGGTGCACCGTAATGTGAAGAACCAAAGTAGGTGAATATAAAATCTAAATTCTAAACCCAATTACATATAAGAGCCCATCAGTAGCTCCTCCACATCAGAAGCATACAACAAGTTACAAGTTTGCTCAATATTTCAGTGGGAAAAGCAGGAGTAGCAGAACAACAAACCATAACAGATAAAAGGAAAATTTAACTAACAGCGCCTTACCATTTCGAGTAATTAGAAACTGCTTATCAGCTGGTAAGTAAGGCTTCCTCTTGCTGGGCTCACCTGATTCCCTATGGAACAGATATTGACAGGAGCGTTAATAGCAAACACCAGCTTATATAAAGTCAATACAAGCCCGAGAAAGCTCAAAACTTTTTGCTCGTGGAATTGTAGCAAGTTCGCATCTTTTACAATCCCTTTGTTGGAATTGAACGAATTGACCCGATGAAAATCAAAACATCACAGACTGGAAGCAAAATTCAATCGGCCAAGCAAGGAAACAGCTCCAGATTCAACTTATCAAGAAGCAATATTCCCCAAACCCTCTAAGGGGTCGTTTGGATGAGCTCACGATGACCAGGGGAAGATTGAAAATAGAGAAATTTACCATGACCAGGTAGGGCACTTGGAGACGAGATTGTCGCCGGCGAGAATGAACTCGCTGACGCTGAGGACGCCCTTCTCCTTGAAGGCGGAGACGGTGCGGGGGCTCGTAATTCTCTCAACCGTGCCTTTGAAAGCGTCGTGAAGCTTCTGTTTCAGCACCATCGCTGAATTATCTTCTTGGGTGGAATTTCTTAAGAGGAAAAAAAACAAATCAAATTCCCAGGCCCGACGAACCCTAGAGTTTGAGAAGAAGGGAAGGAAGGACCAGAGCTGACCGTGTTTAACAAGGTAAAGCTAACCCCACTGATCAGACCAAGTTGTCAATCGCCATATCCCCTCTGCCCGTTGCGTGTTCTTTCTCTCTCTCTCTCTCTCTCTGTTTTTTTTTTTGTTCCCTTTTCCAAGTCTTAGATTATGGGCTTCGGCCCGCCAAAAATGGGCGTTGGTTGCTCAATGGGCCTTCTCTTCTGAGCTATCTATCTATCTATCTATCTATCTATCTATAAAAATATTAAAAGACTTTGAGATTTTGGCCTCCTCCACGTAAGCCTTCCTCAAAATCTAGCCTATCCACGTCAGCCCCAAACCGCCTCCTACTCTCCGGCTATCATCTGTCCGTTAAAACTTAAAAACCCCTATTTCCCATCATTCGCTTCCACCTTTTCTGACTTCTCTCATCATTCCCTACGACGGTTCCTTCTGCCCAAAATTTCGAAACTTTGCATCTCCGTCGGTTCCCGCAGCGACAAGATGTGAAACTTGCACTTGCCTCCATCGCCGCAATGAATCAGTCATCACTGATGCCCACTCGACCGATGCGACATGATTTGATCTATTCCTACGATTTTAAGTTTTTAACCCTTATTTGTCTTGATTAATCCAGAGATTTCATAGTTTGGCGGGGAATCATGCGTACTGTATTCGGCAGATCTACGGACTTGAAAAGAGGCAAACTGGTTGGCAGTTTTAATGAGCCGAGAAGAAGCAATTGCCGTCGGCGGATATGAGGGAGAAGAGAAAGTAGCATGCAAAGCAAAAGACAGTCTCAACTCCAACAAAACCGTATCTTCCCTCTTGATCGGTTTGTCGTATGAATTTTCCTTTTCCATTCTTTGGTTTCTGCTCTTCATCCAAATTGACCGGCCAAAGCTTCATCACATATGCATAGCTACGACTTCAAATTGCAAGTCGTTATGTTTATTATGAAATGTGCCGATGCCGAAAATTCAATTTATTTAACATTATTTCTTCAATCCGAACACAGTTATCGGGTAATAGAAGGGAAGCAATTGATGTTTCGACCGGCCATATGCAATCTCTATTTTCTGTCTTTCTCGCTGTTGCTTCATGAGTTCATCTTGATTAAACTAACTCTGTCGCAGTCTTCTTCTATGGCTGATACTGCTTTTCAGTAGCTGTAACGAATGAACTTTGTTTCTCCAATTCAGAGATTTAACTTGGACCTCCCTGGAGGAGAAGCTTTTCAATATCCCTTCTATTTTTCTGTGTTCTTTCCTTTCTGGTGGCTAAATTTGTGGATACCTTCTTTAGAACTCCGTTTTAGACTGCAATTATGTTGATGTGTCTTTCTTGATTTCCCTTATCACCCATCTAATTGCATTGCAGGTATGGAGTGGGTCAATATATATGGACGAACTGATGGAATGTGATTTTGGTCGATGGAGATTTTGGTTTCACTTTGATCTATGGCCGATCATCAACCAACATTCTCTACTCCAGTTCCAGTGTACAGTGAAAATTGCCTCAACACATCTATTATTAACCTCAATCGTATTGTTGTCTTAGTGTTCTGCTTTTCAATCCCCTAAAGTATCAATTATGTGATCAAGTTGCTATTCTAATTCTGGGACTTGCTCTGAATTTCTAATTACGCGACCATGACAACAGAAACTAAATCATACCTTAAGCAGCAGTGGAGCAGGACGTGATCTGAAGAGCTGAGTGGTTGGGATGAAGAGATCTGGGCATGTTGTAGTGGTTGGGATAAACAGATCGGGGGATACAAGTATAAATTGGGTCGGCAACTATAAGTGTATGTCATTACCATCATTGATTTGTAGCTCCATGCGAGTGTATTGAAGCCTTATGGCAAAGTGAAAGGCCGCTCTCCATCATCACTTGCTTTTTTGGCTTGCTTTAAACTCTCTCAATTTATCAAAACTTCAGCTCCGCCAAGATCCTATCTGCTACAATGATAAAACCACCTACATATTAGAGATTGAAACCTAGATTAACTTTCTCAATTAGTTTATTGTTATCAGCTGAAGACTATCTCGATGGTTAAACAAAGAAAAGGAGGCCATATCATATCCAAGGATTGAAAACGTATCGGCAATTCAACAAGAAAACCGGTAGGGGTATTTGGCAGTATGAAAATATAGAATTATAGTTAAAACAAGATTTCAGTATAAACGGCCAACTTTTTCAGTACAACTTTTGAGATAGTTTTACAACCTTTCATCGAAAACGAATTAAAATAAAAAGAAAATAGAAGAATATTTACCCCGGCCGAGGGCCGGGCCCACAGCTAGTTATATATAATTTACTTTTATCTTTTTGTTGAACAATAGAAACAAAAAATCGCATAATTGGCTGTAAAAAGAAGGGCGTAAAGGACGAGGTCAGGGGAAACGTTGGCGGGTTTCCCTTCCCTCCAAACGTTTCTTCTGCCTATTCACTCACCGGCGCCGCCGAGAAGGCAAGGGGAAGAAGGATTGAGCTTAGCTGTCTACTCCGGCTCGTCAATGGAGGGGAAGAAGAGCTGCTCCTGGGACGACTGGGTTGGGGAGGCATTGTCGAAGCTTCAATCCACCAAGCTGCTTCGGTCGTTGAGACCCATTACCCTTTCCACCGAACAACCTCTCCCATCAATGCTGGCTCCGTCTCTTGGCCACGATTACGAGGTGTTCGACGAAATGCAGCCGTGGGATCGGTCCTCCGTTGAGGTATCGGTTTCAGAGGCCACGTTTCGCAATTGGCTCCTTGAGGCTGCCAGTGTCGGTGAGTTTGTAAAACGGGGTTATTTGTTCTTGTCCAAAATTGCACCAATGGTTGCTTTGTTATATGACTCATTTTGATAAAATTGGGTTTGCAGGAGAAGATGATTCTTGCAGTGGTGGTGGTGTTGAGCAGCGAGCTGGGCAGTTCAAGAAGCTACTTTTGTTCTCTGGAAATGATTACTTGGGCTTGAGTTCGCATCCCACTATTGGCAAAGCTGCCGCCAAGGTTTGTTTGATGTTTGGCCCTTTCATATCTCAAATGTTGTGGCTGCTTACTGTACTAAGAGTGCACTGAAACTATATTGCGATAATCAGGCAGCTCAAGATCATGGAATGGGGCCGAGAGGTTCTGCTTTAATCTGTGGTTACACTAATTACCATAGACTGCTTGAGTCTTGCTTGGCAGACTTGAAGAAAAAAGAGGTAAAATAATTTTATGTTCGTAGCCTCACTGCATTGTTAACTATGACTTCTTAGGATCTTGTACTCCAACCTTTTAAGTTTGAAATCCTTGTAATTCAGTTTCTTAGTTTCTAGTACACTAAGTGCTGTGTAATATTATCCAACACTTACGGATTAGTCTGATATTCGGTTTTACATGGATAATCATTTCTTTGCCTCCTAAACTGAAACTTATACCTGCTATTGCATTATCTGCTGTAGGACTGCCTTCTTTGCCCTTCAGGGTTTTCAGCCAATATGGCCGTAATGGTATCTGTTGGAAGCATTGGCTCTCTTTTGGCCACATCGCAGAAGAAACCTCAAATGGAGGAAAAGATTGCTGTGTTTTCTGATGCTCTGAACCATGCTTCAATAATTGATGGTATTCGTCTTGCTGAGCGACAACAGACAATTGAGGTCTATGTGTATAGGCATTGTGACATGTCCCACCTTAGTTCATTACTGTAAGCGCTTAACTTTACCTTCACCCTTACTCTTACACTATTTTGCTAGCATTCTGCTTTTATGGTACTCATCTCATTGTTGTACGAATTTGTTTTACAGCTCAAGCTGCTCTTTGAAGAAGAAGGTTGTTGTGACTGATAGGTTAGTCAACCTCTAAGTGCTACATTAACTATGGTTTCTCGTAGCTCCAATTGTTGAGTAGAAAGACATATATTTTTTGTTCACTTGGGTCTTTGGTGGATTCGTATTAGCATGGTGGATAAAAACTTTCAGCTTTGTATGAAGTAGTTATGTGCCAGCTGTAGGGTTTTCTTGCATGTGGTGAGATACTAAATGGATGTTCTTTGGGGTTATATAGTTTGTTTAGTATGGATGGAGACTTTGCACCAATGGCTGAACTTGTGAATCTTCGGAAGAGGCATGGCTTTTTGTTGATCATCGATGATGTAAGTTTTTCCCGAAAGGCTGGGTGTATGTGCTTGGAGGAAAATGTTTGACAGCCAATGATCAACTAGCCTTCCATGGTACACACCTTGCTATAACTGTATAATGTCGATAAATAAGAGACTAGTAACTCTGCCAAGAATTATTTTCAGGCCCATGGAACATTTGTTTGTGGCAAGGATGGTGGTGGAGTTGCTCAGGAGTTTAATTGTGAAAGAGATGTCGATATATGCGTTGGCACACTGAGTAAAGCTGCAGGTTGCCATGGGGGATTCATAGCATGCAGGTAATACAAATTAACTCAACCCATGAGTGCTCTTCTTTTATCTCTCAGTCCATGCAAAATGTCCCTTGCATATAAGTAACAGTTGCAGTTGTGTGGCAACCATTTGTTGACAGTAAAAGATGGAAGCAACTCATACAATCAAGAGGCCGTTCATTTATATTCTCAACTGCTATACCAGTTCCTGTTGCAGCAGCTGCCCATGGTGAATTTTACTGCCATACATTTTCTTCTGTTTCATCTGTTTTCAGTTTTACCTTATTGCAGAAAAGTCTTCCGTTTATTAACACTGTCTGCATAAACCACCAGCTGCTGTTATTGTGGCGGAAAAGGAAGCGTGGCGAAGAAGGGAAATTTGGAAGAGGGTCCAAGACTTTCGGATTCTTACTGGGATCCCTATCACCAGCCCTATTATCTCCCTTGTTGTAGGCAGTGAAGAGAAAGCCCTGCGAGCTAGCCGGTCTCTCCCTCCCTCTCTCTCTGTGCATGGATATGCATGAGTAGTTAGGAATTGCTGCAACAGCTTGTAACTGTGCTAGTTTCTGTGAATCAGGTACATGTTGGAATCTGGTTTTCACGTCACTGCAATCCGCCCTCCTACTGTGCCGTCCAACTCATGCAGGTATTCTGTGTGGCATAATATATACATGCACTATTGAAATCCAAATACTGCTTGGAGTAAGTTGTTAGCATTGGAGTTTGATGTAGAAGTTCAGTGATGCCATTCTGAAAGGGCCATCTGTAGTTGGAACTTTAGATTGAGCAGGAAGAGAAGACTCACTTGAATTGCTTCTCTCTCTCTCTCTCTCTCTTTTTTTTCTTTTTTAATCAGATTAAGAGTTACTCTTAGCGCGACACACTCGGTGGATGATTTGAAGAAACTGACGGCTGCACTATCCCGTTGCATCAGCCTTGAAGCTATCAGTAGCCACAGCAACTTGAATGGATATGCCAGACTCTAGATTAATACAAATCCATGTAGAGAAACAACATTAGCAGTAGGAACTGTTGTACTGCAGTAGGGTTTTTCTTAATTTATGCGAAGCTTCCTAAACTGGTTGCTCAATGCTTTCCAGTACAGCTGAAACGCTCAGGTAATGGCGGATTACCAATTTTTTTTGTTGTTGTAAAAGAATAGCTACCGTCATCTCTGTTGTAGTCTTGGTTAGGATACTCGACTCTCACCTGAACCGAGAGCCTGCTGTTCGAGTTCATGGTTCGTAATCACATTGATGATCATAAATTCATAATAGTAGTCTATTATATAAGCAAACTCAAACAGATTGCAAAATGAAAACCCACTTAACCAGACATGAATGGTTCTTACTCACAGCTTATGTAATTATTAGCTCTAATGGTAAAGTTTTGGCCTGCGTATCAAAAATACTATTCCCCTTAGCAATGACACTAAACTCAGAAGCAGTGGGAGCCCCTCTCCCCTTGTATTCCGACCATATTAGTCAATGGGCCAATTTGACTATGTAAGGAGATGGGGTTAAATTCATACCAGAATAATAACTGTTCTAATGTATAACTATAGTAGCATTTCTCCTAACTTAGCCTCGCTTGCAGTCCTTCTCCGACGACGGATTACCACCGCCGATAGCCAGCCATGTCTGTACTCCCAACGGAAGGCATGATGCAGCTGCCATCTGCCATTCCAACACACAGAGAGCAGTAAGATAGTAGAAAATTTGAAGTCTACGGTCTGTGTCAAAAACTCACAAACAATAACGAGTTCATGACAACTACTTACAGTTCCAGCACTGAAACTCTGATGATGGTTTCTTCTCTGGTAGGTGACTGGACCAGGGGAGACTTGATTCGGATTCTCAGTTCGGGTTCTGGGAACTTCGTTGAGGTTGATCAGAGGAGTTCTAGGAGTAGCGCTGTTGTTTCTCCCCTGTCGGCGGAGGATAGAAGGAACAGCAGAGGAAGAAGGTGGTGTGGTTAGAGCTAGTGCGAAGTCGGATGTCCTTTCAGCTACTGGCCTCATCAACGGGGAAGGAGAGTGCTGAGAGTCGGCGGAGGTGAGTGTGGTTATGGAGGAGGATAAGGAAGAGACAGAAGAAGGAGTTCTAGCGAGGAAGCCATCGAGGTGGACTGTTGGAGAGGAGGCTGTAGCCATGTCAGGCCACAGGAAAGTCCCCCCTGGCTTGCATATCCTGAACCCGCTTGATCTCAGCCTTTGTATTTTGGCTGCTCTGTCTTCCATTGGAGTCGGTGTAGTTGAGTTTTGGCTCCGGTTTCCTTCCTCAAAATGTTGTTCCTCCGATTGTGTGATCATGAGCTGTGTCATTGTTTCTTCTTCTAGTTGCTGCTGTCGTTCCAGTTGTTTCTCTTCTGATCTATTTCTTGTGGCCATTGCTTCCTAATATGACACCATAAGTAGACATTATTAATGACCTAAATGTGATGTTAAGGAATTTGACTTTCATTCAATATAATACCTCCATGGCAAGTAAGGACTCAGAGATTTCGGCCAGTTGTTCTTCAATTTTAGCCTTCTTATTGGACAGATCGATGAACATCTCCTGCAAAGGTTACGCATCCGATTAGAGGACTGACAATTAGAAGTCAGAAGAGTCGAGGAATTTCAGATATGTACCTTGAGCGGAGTAAGTAGGTTGTCATGTTCCATGCTTAAAGTGGTAAGTGATGAAGAAATTGGCATGGCTGCAATGGCTAGTTCTTCCTCCTGTTTCTTCGAAGCCAGGTCTTCCATGTCCCTGATTTCCAATTCATCATCAGTACACGAATAGCAAAAGACCACAGCAGCTTAATAGGAATGAAAAGAGAAAAGATATCGAAGGAAAGGTCAGGATTACCTTTTCAGTTTCTCAACTTGCTCAGTTAGTTTCTTGATCTGGGTAGCGCATACAGGGTCCTGAGAGGGGTTATCACCAGGCTTCCAACCAGGTGGTGGAATCCAGTATGGATCTTGCACTCCAGCCTCCCTCCTTAAGTCTAGCAGATTGGCCTTCTCCAACCAATACTCCATTGAACCTTCTGCATTGTGCCGCCTCCGGAACCTTTCTTCACCTCCTGGCGCCACCTTCCCTGCCATATGCTTCAGCAAATGGTCCAACAGACCAGTATCTCCAATCAGCCTCCTCGCTTTTGCTCTCAATACTGGCCTTAACATTGGGTTCCCAAACAGTGCCTTCTCCTCTTTCATTATCTTCAACATGTTCACCTCAGCTAGTTGATACCTTCACAAACATAATAATCATTCCTTAAATACGCATTAGTCAAACCATTAAGTAATTTACGAAGCATCAGGTTGATCATAGCACTTACCTTTCAGCAGACCATCTGTCAATCGTCTTTTTCACCACCTTCTTCTTCTTATTGATCTTCTGCCTGTAAACAACGATCTGATTCTTGTTCTTTCCACGTTTTGGCCTCTTCCTCAGCTGGATTGTAGAGGATGGTAACTGATTCTTCTTTCTTTTCAGATTCTCCCTGCATTCTCTCGTCTTAGCCTTCACAATCACCTCCTCTGTATCTTCTTCTTCCTCACATTCCTCTTCACCACTCGCCGGATCACTCTGGTCTTCTTCCCCATCACTCCCATCATCCTTATCATTTTTCTCCATCCAATCAGAAGGTTCTTCCTTATCCTCCACATGCCTGCCCATAAACCTAACTCTCCGGCGTTGACCCCAGTTGACTATCCCGGGAGTCTTGAGTTCCGACAAGAGTGAATCCTTGGTCAATGCACCACTGCCATTGTTCGTAGACGAGGAACCCTTTAGGCGGAGATTCGAGACCTTCTGGGAAGCAACAGAAGGAACTATCCAGAAGTTCCAGTCCCATTTTTTCTTCGCTACCTCGTCAGGCAGAATTCGCCGGTAAAGAGCCTCCCCTGCAACTTCAGAACCGATTACACATCTCTCGTCCAGCATCGGGATGTGCTTTACTTCCGGCCCAGAACACCCAGTACCGTCGTTCAAGTAAGCTCGGATAGAGTAAATGCTTGGGTACCTCAGCGAAACCCTCATCCTCGTTTTCTCATTCACCTGAAAAGAAAAATCAGACAAACCCAGAAGCGGAAATGAGAGGAAAAAAAAAACAGAGAAAGCTGAAGCAGAAACGTCTAGCAAACAGAGAAACGGGAAGAGGAAGGAAATTGGAGAAGAAGACGAAAGAGCTGGGTCCAAAAGAATTACCATGACAACTCGAACACTCTTGAGTTGATCAGGTGCTCTGTTAGGGAGCATGGAATGGTCGATTTCATATAAACAGTTCACTTTAATGTGCTCCGCTGGATCTGCAAGCGTGAAAGACGGTGGAGACGAACTCAGAGTTTGAACCAGAGGAGGAGAAAGCTGGGACGACATATTAACAATACTTGCGAATTGGAAGAGAAGATAAGGGCTAATCAGGAACGTCGCAGGAGGGGGAAAAAAAAGGGGGCCGAGATATATATTGAGAGAAAAAGAGGGAGAGAGAAGATTGCTGGCTGCTGCTATAAGTGGAATGGGTTATACCTTGTACCCAAGTGTGTGAATATTCTAACACGGGCGCCAAAGGCAAACCCAACTCCGGTGCTTCCAAAAGAGGTCTTCTCGCGGCGGCGTAGTAGCAGTCCTCTGACGCCATTGGTGGTTCGTGGCCCTTTGAGTACATCATTGCCTGCATGTAAAAAAAAAAAGTTCCAATTCCTCGTGTATCAGAGAAGAAGAAGAAAACAGCATAGCCATTCCGTTTCATTTCGCCATCCTAATTTGGGGATTGTTATTCCCTTCTATCATCATTACTCTGCTATCTCAAATCGTATTTCTTTTTTTTTTTTTTTTGCATTTCTTTTGCTGTTTGTTTAGAGGAGACATTCCCACGTAAAACTGAGGAATTCAGCAATTAATGCTGGTTTCCGCCATCGCGCAGCGCGTCGCGCGCGTGACTGAGACAATGGCGGGAAGGGAAGAAAGAAATCCCAAGTGGGGCCACCTTTTGCTCGCCCACAAGCGCGTGGAGAAAGTGCATGTGGGATAACGAGCGTGGAGGGGTTTCAATTCTAGATGGCAAAAGGAATAACAGAAAAAGCGAATCAAATTTTCGTCCCCGGGGAAAGGGCGTGTGTTTTTGCAGAGAGCAAGAGAGAGAAAGGGAGAGCGAGAGTGACAGTGAGAGAGAGAGCAGCAGCAGCTTACAGTCAGACTCCTTGCAGCAGCATCGTGAAGAAGCTCCATCGTCGATTTTGTTCCTGAAAAGATAACCCGACTGTGAATCAACTTATAGAACAACGGGAGTCAGAAAAATCGATCATCAACAACGCAGATTTAGTTGAGAAGACGGAATAGTGAACTTCTGAAGTGTTTTTTAACCAATTCAGAAACTCCATTGTGAATTGCTCCTGAACTAAACCGAAATTAGCTTGGTTAACTTAAAGGAAAATCCAGCAAGGGCGACGGAGCTTTTAGCTCCAATCGAATTCAAAACCAAAAAAATCGAAGAAACCTACTGTTCTGTTCAAGTATTGCACTAAAAGAAAACGACGCAAGAAGTAAGGCAGAGTCGACGGGAGAAGAAGATGAACGATATAGTATCAAAACGGTGATTAATCTAACCGAACAAATACGCAGAATGGAGATTCCAAACACGATTCTTCATTTTCCGATTCTTATTTCAATTTTGTTGAAAAGACCAACAATCAACGGAAACTCTGACGAATTCGGAGAGGAGCAGAGGAAAAGAAGAACGAAGATCAATACCTTCTCCCTATATGCAGCTAGCACCGATTCAGAACGGAATCAACGAGACTGGGAACTACTGGAATCGACGAGCAGGAATCCACGAAGAAAATGGAAGATCGATGGAACTGGCTATGTCGATGAAGTCTGGATTCACTACATCCGGGGGGGAAAAACAGAGCAATTAATCGGTGAAAAGAGAAAGAAGGAGAGAAAAAAGCAGAGAGGAAAGAAATGATGCGGACCTGTTCGTTCTGGCTGGATTGGAGAGCAAGGAAACGAAAAGGGAGGAGGGAAACGAGAGGGAGAGTGAAGAGAGAAGCAAGCTAAGCAACAATGGCTGTGGGAGTGAGAGTGAGAGAAACGATCGTGTGGGATTTTGAAGAGAAAGAGAGAGACTGGTATTAATGGAAATTCCCCGCTGAACATCACGTGAGCTTGCTTTTCTCCTCCCTCCCAGTCACACACAAAGATAAAACGACCATGCTTTTCAAGTTAATTACATCCCTGCCATTCACCATATAGTTTCACAGTCAGGAATTCAACAGTCTGTTGAATTCAATTTTCAGGAAGAGACGAGTGCCTCTTTTTTCAAGGCCACACAGACCTAACTAACCAATAGAATTTCATGGGACTGTACTTTGGAAGTGAACCCACCTGTCAATCACTTCCGTCCAACCGAACCGCCCCTGCCTTTCTAATACTGACCTATTTTAGTAATTTTCCCTCGAGTAAGGGCCGGACTGCCAGAAGTTATTGGGCTTCACCAAGCCCAAAAACTTATTTTCTTGGTCTCAAAGTCTCAATCATACTCGTACAATAGTTCAGTTTCCCACTTCCCATTACATAAAACACATACTAGTTATGAAGGTTCTCAACCTCACGCACCAGTGGACTTGAGACTCACTCTCCTTCCTGGATGAAAATGCAGCCAAAGGCCTCAAGGGATCAATACAACAGAACCTGAGGTCATGCGGCTCTCCAAGTCCGAGTGCGCCTTTGCCGCCTCGGATAAAGGGTACGTGTGGTTCACCCGAACTCGAAGCGCCCCTGATTCCATGTTGGCAAAGACATCGGCGGCAGTTTCCAGCAGCTCCTCTCGGGTTGTGGTGTACATCATGAGCGAGGGCCTCGTCAGGTACAAGCACTTTGGCGCTAGAGCGGACAGAGGAATCGGATCCGGTGTCCCTGATGACTGCCCAAACACCACCAAGTATCCGCGGATCTTCAAGCACGACAATGACCCCTGCGCGTTGAACAGCGTTGGATGAGTCTCTGCAACATGACGACATAACATATGGTGCGATGAAGTTGTTGGTGAAGGGAAAGCATTATCTGTTACCTGAATTGTGTCCTTCCCCACAGAATCATAGACAACGTTGACCCCCTTGCCTGATGTTATCTCACTGACACGAGCTACAAAGTCTTCTTCTTTGTAATTGATGACATGGTGGCATCCGTCCTCAGTGGCTTGTGCAGCTTTCTCCTTGGTCGACACCGTTCCAATGACAGTGGCACCAAGTGACTTCCCCCACTGGCACAAAAGAGATCCTACTCCACCAGCTGCTGCATGAACAAGGATGGTGTGACCAGGCTCAACCTGTAATATGCAGAAGAGAGAACTAAGCCACTTGAAAAGTAACTAGCTCTAAACCCTCGATGATTGCCGAATGGCAAAACCAAATTGTACGTTCCTTTTGAAATGTGATTGAGCCTAAGAAACTCCGACCTTGAAACACCGGTGTAATAAAAACTGAGCAGTCATGCCTTTGAGCATGGCAGATGCTGCAACGACAGGGTCAATTGAAGGAGGAACAGGTACAGCTCTATCTACTGGAAGTATCTGCTCTTCTGCATATGCTCCCATCGGATTACCAGCATATCCAACAATATCGCCCACTTTAACGTCAGTTACTCCATTTCCCACAGCAATCACCTCACCAACAGCCTCCATTCCTGCAAAGCAGGAAACTAGTGGGATCAGCATGCAATAAGAACATAAAAGCTCACTACTTTCAGCATGAAAGTACTTCAAAATTGGATGAACTAGCTAGTTGGTCCGGTCCCTCTTGCTCCACAATACACAAAATCTACTCAGCACCAACAAACTATACATCCTTCCCCCGAAGCAGCTTTCATAAAGTACGATAGATAGCAAATGAAACAAGCAATAACAAGCTAAACCCAGAAGAGGAAAGCAAAATTCAAAAGAACAAGGACACCACCTGGAGTGAATGGCAATTTGGCAGGTTGGTAAACTCCTTTACGGAAATAGGTATCAATGAAGTTGAGCCCAATCGCTTTATTCTTTACCAGAATCTCGCCCTCCCCTGGCTGCCCGATCTCCACATCCTCCCACTTCAAAACCTGCACAATTAACCCCCCAACCGATCACAAAAACTGGAAACTTCGATTTCCCTCAGAAATGAACGGAAATTCCCTCAACCTGCTGGGTTCCCTCCAAAATCAATTGAATTGTATCTACTAGCAATCGAAAATCACAATCGTCTTACCTCAGGGCCACCCAGCTCATGAACCTTGATCGCTTTCACCATTTTCGTGATTGAATCAGAAGTTGACACCAGAGCCCTTACAGCCGATCTTCGATGGGTTGTTGAGGGAGACGAATATGAGAGAAGCGTTCTGCAATTACTGGTTAGCTTTCGGACAAAAGTTGCGCTACCAGAATAGTGTGGAAGAAGAGCTCGAGCCGTCAGAGTAGGCAGAGTTTGACTTAGCCACTTCACTCTCACCGAACCCATTTACCCCTCGCAGATTAACCCACCCGCCGCCACGCATGCAGGGAACCGAAAAGCGGCAGCACTGTCCCGTAAATCACTGAACACGAAACTGTATATCTTGAGGAACAGTTTTGTGTGGGCTAGGACATGGGCCTTATGCTCTTGGGCCTTGTGACTCCAAGCCCTCGAGAGTAAGAATAAGAAACCAAACCGGCAAACATTGCAGGATCTTCGTTGTCTAATATATCACCATTTAATTACACCATCCTTTTTGTGGTAAACCCATTGGTTGCCACTTACCATTTAACAACACATAATAATTAATATACCTTAATAGGGTTCTTTTAAAGGAATTTGGTTTTATAGATGTTCCAATGGATGCCAAATAGAAGGTTTTAGGATTAATGTAAAACTAGGGCGGGTAAATGGTTATCATATTAACGGTTTAACTGATAATCGAATTAAAATTGGTGCTTAACGATTAAATCAATTAAGCATTAAACGATCGGTTTTCAGTAGTTAAATTTAGCTAATTACTAACTGATGGTTAAACGGTTAACCGACTAACCGATTGCGACTATCCTCATAGTTAGGCCCGCAAATAATAGGCATCGACGAGTTGCATGAATAGGTATAAATAATGAGATTTTGAAGGCCCAAAAGATCCTACATATCCTAGTTGTAATTGTGACTTATATTCAAATGAGAATAATTTCAAAGAAGGTCTTTAAAAGGAGCATAGTAGAAAGTTGAACTTACACATAATAGCTCGACAACAATCGGGGTAACATTTGAGCTTATATGTAATTTGGTAGGGTTTATCAGTTGAGTAATTGTTGTTGGATCTCTTATTCTTATCTACTTCCTCAGTAAAATACTTAAATTTGATAGTAGAATGATGTTATTGTGTACTTGTGTTGGATTTAGTTTATTATAGATTGATATCTATGTTAAATTATATTTTGCAATGCAAAAACCTGTAAAAAGAACACATACGTATATAGAAAAAAGTCTACAAAAATGTACAATGTAAAAATGGAAGAGGTCTTCTTTTGGTTAGGTTACTAATCGATTATTTTGGTATAACCTTGCCGAGTCACTTGCTTAACGGTTAACCGGTTAACCTACACGAGAAACGAGAATCGAATATATGGTTATGTTTAACCAACTAATATAAACGATGTGTTTAACGGTAAGCAGTAAGTGTTTAATAGTTAACCGATAACCGACCAAACGGTTTCAATTATAACCGAATAGATTGTCAGCCCTATGCGAAACTCAGAGAATGGATTTATATAATTTCCTTAGGAAAATGCTATACATGATTCACGTGAATATAGTACAAAATTTTCTAAGTCTCCACTCGTAGTGGGAAAAAATCCAAAAGTACCACTGTTTAAAAAAAAAATTCCAAAAATACCACCCAACCCCAAAAAATTCCAAAACCGCCACCCCACCCAGCGGTTTGGTCGAAAATCGCTTGTCGGGGGCGCGGTTTTGGACCAAACCGCGGGCCTAGGGGGCGGTTATAAAAAAAAAAAAATGGACCAAACCGCTGGGTGGGGTGGCGGTTTGGTCCAAATTTTTTGTTTTTTTCGACCAACTCCTAGCTTCGGTCGAAACTTCAAACGAACGTAACTTTGCACTCGGGTATCCGATCGTAGCGATTTTTTTTCATTTCGCATAACTTTTCAAGATCTACAACTTTTACTAGGATGAAATTTTCAAAACAGGAACTATTTGTGGATATACGGGACCTTGAGAAATACTTTACCTTTACTTTTCAGAAATCCATGTACATTTTGAAATTATGATTATATTAAAAGTTGTAGATCTTGAAAAGTTATGCGGAATAAAAAAAAAGTTCATAACATTAGGAGTTTGGAGCACAAAGTTATGGCCGCCCAAAGTTTGACGAAAGGCGAGACCCGGCGGTTTGCGGCTTGCAAGATCTCAAAAAGTTTGCTGCCTCCATTTTTTGAATCCGAATAAATTTTTGAGATCTTGCAAGTCTCAAACAGTCGAGTCCCGTCTTCGTCTCGAAAAAACGTCATTTGCCACCCCGAACGACCTTTTTTTATTTCGTCAAACTTTGGGCGGCCATAACTTTGTGCTCCAAAATCCGAATGTCATGAATTTTTTTTATTCCGCATAACTTTTCAAGATCTACAACTTTTAATATAATCATAATTTCAAAATGTACATGGATTTCTGAAAAGTAAAGGTAAAGTTATTCTCAAGGTCCCGTATATCCACAAATAGTTCCTGTTTTGAAAATTTCATCCTTAAAAAAGTTGTAGATCTTGAAAAGTTATGCGAAATGAAAAAAAAAAATCGCTACGATCGGATACCCGAGTGTAAAGTTACGTTCGTTTGAAGTTTCGACCGAAGTTGGGACTTTGTCGGAAAAAAAAAATTTGAACCAAACCGCTGGTTGGGGTGGCGGTTTTGGGCCAAACCGCCACCCCACCCAGCGGTTTGGTCCAATTTTTTTTTTATAACCGCCCCTTAGGCCCGCGGTTTGGTCCAAAACCGCGCCTCCGACAAGCGGTTTTTGACCAAACCGCTGGGTGGGGTGGCGGTTTTTGAAAAAGGGTGGTATTTTTGGAATTTTTTGGGGTTGGGTGGTATTTTTGGAATTTTTTTTTAAACAGTGGTACTTTTGGATTTTTTCCCTCGTAGTGTTTCTGAAGTTCTTGACTTGCCCTTTTAGATGACCAAAAAAAATTTATCTATGAAACATTAGATACAATTATTAATTCATAACCGACCAATTCATGATACGCAAATAGTAATTACACAACCCATTATGACCACACGGCTAAATTACACGTTTGGTCACTCAAATTATACAAATTTTTCACGTTTGCCACCCGAATTACTTTTCTTTCTTATTCGTCACTAACTTTACGAATCGTTTCACGGTTGGTCACCGGCCGTTACACTCCGTTAAGTTTGTCCTACGTGGCAGTCAACTATAAAGTTTGACCGTTAACTAGATGACGTGGAAATTAAAAAAAAAAAAGATTTTTCTTTCCACCTCATCATTGCACTTATTTTGTCTATATAATTTATCATATTAATAATTTAATAAAATTTAATAAATTAAAAAAATGGACAAATCCAAATGCTCATCATTCTCGACCACCGCTCACGATGAGTTTGAATGATGATGCTCACAAAGCGCTTGATTTCTTTGTACATATCAAACCTTCGAACGTTACTCTCAATCTCTCTCCAATTAACATGTATTGTCGTTTTGGGTTGATTGCATACCGATGACTTGTCGTTCTGCATCCATTGTATACAATACAGGAGATCAAAGTTGGTGTTGTTCTCCTGTGATGTTTCCTCTTTCCCCTTTCTGAAACCTTCTGCTTCGATCTGTACACAAGAAACAATCCTACCAAATCCAACGTGGAGAATATAAGTGACTTGGGCAAGCTCCGGACGGAGATCAGCGTGGCTGGGAGCGAAGGAAATAAGAACCCAGATGGGGGGGACTTCGAAACGGAACTCCGGGGAGTCCCGGCGCTCCGATGCCGGCGAGGAAGGCTTTTCACTCATCGTGAGCGGTGGTCAAGAATGATGAGCATTTGGATTTGCCCATTTTTGTAATCTATTAAATTTTATTAAATTATTAATATGATAAATTATATAGACAAAATAAGTGCAATGATGAGGTGGAAAGAAAAATCTATTTTTTTTTAATTTCCACGTCATCTAGTTAACGGTCAAACTTTATAGTTGACTGCCACGTAGGACAAACTTAACGGAGTGTAACGGCCGGTGACCAACCGTGAAACGATTCGTAAAGTTAGTGGCGAATAAGAAAGAAAAATAATTCGGGTGGCAAACGTGAAAGATTTGTGTAATTTGAGTGACCAAACGTGTAATTTAGTCGTGACCACACATAACGCATTATAAATTTTCGGGTTAATACAATATATTAGCCATAACTATTAAGTAGCAGGGAATTATAGCCACAACTATCGAAATACAAATTATTAGCCAACCATTAAGTTTTCGTAACACTTCTGTTAGTAATGATGACCTAACTTTTATGATGCTGAGCTGGCTCCCACGTGACAGTCACTATATCGTATTTTTTTACGATGATGACATAGCCTTCTCCGTTAAAAATTTGAAAACAGTAACGGGCTGTTAGCCAAATCTTGACCCGCAACAATAGTTATGACTAATAATTTGTATTTCGATAGTTATGGATATAATTCCCCGTTGCTTAATAGTTATGACTAATATATTGTATTTACCCTAAATTTTCTAATACCCTCCCCTCTATTAAATTCAAACCATTAGGTTGACTTCTTAATCTAAAGACTTTGACTTCTTGAGTAGGTTAGCACTCAGATTGCGTGACCTAACTCCTGATACGTTATTAGGAGACCCATACTTGCTTGAGCTTAAGGATTCATGAACTAGTAGTATCAACTATCAAGTACAAATAGACGCTTGTATCCTATATTCCAACTTGTATCCTATATTCCAATTTGACTAAGGCAGGTAGATAGTTACATTACATGGAACCACATACCCAGTTACATGTCCCAACGAGAATGGGAAGAACTGCATCACGGAATCAACACCACAGACCCAGTGGTCTTCCGGCTCTCCAAGTCCGCATGCGCCTTTGCAGCTTCAGATAAAGGGTACGTATGGTTAACCCGAACTCGCAGCACCCCTGACTCCATGTTGGCGAAAACATCAGCAGCCGTCGCTAGCAGCTCCTCCCGGGTTACGGTGTACATCATGAGAGAAGGTCTCGTCAAGTATAAGCACTTTGGCGCAAGAGCAGATAGAGGAACTGGGTTGGGAGTCCCTGACGACTGACCGAAGCTCACCATGTATCCCCTGATCTTTAAGCATGCTAGTGATCCCTGCTCGTAGACAGTAATGATTCCAAGTTAAGAGTACTCCCAAACCCATTATACAGAAAAGGATCTTAAAATGCATTTCAAGTACCTGAAACGTGTCCTTTCCCACGGAATCATAGGCCACATCGACCCCTTTCCCTGACGTTATCTCTGTGACCCGAGCTACGAAATCTTCTTCTTT